TGGGCCCACTGCTCTCCTATTCTTCATCCGTCTTAGGGCCTCCTTAACTTCAGTTTTTCAAATTCTTTGATAATAATTGAAGTTTTGGTCCTCCTTCCTCGTGTGTAGCCGATCGGAGCATGAGATATTGGCATGCCCCCCCATTAAAAAGGTCATTGAAGTAGCTCTTTCACCGGTGGTTTATGCTTTCATTGGAGACCAAAACTTCACCATTCTTATCTTTGATGCACTTGGTCTAAATCCCGTGTCCTTTCTTGAACCTTTGCAATCTTTTAAATACATCTTTCCCTTTCTTTCTTAGTTCTTACCCAACAACTGGTAAAGTTCTGTTATATAGTTTTTCATTTCACAAATAGATCGTTAACATTTTTTTGTATGCAAACCGCAAATCTCAAATATGTCCAGGATGAAGTTGAGATAATGAAGTGAAATTATCTTATTTTTTGTTATGATTTTCATTTTTCTCACATACGTAGTACTTACCAGAAACATGCGGATGGGAGAGAAATCGGAGAAGCTCTGGCTAGCCACTACAAAGAAAAACTATGCGGATGGGAGGGATATGGGCGGTGGAACGAGAGTATAAGGCAGTGGGAAGAGGGAAGTGGAGGGCAAAGTAACATCATGGACAAAACTAATGACAACATAACAAAGAAGCCGCTTATATTATTCAGGGAGATCAATCCATATGCCGTGAAATCCTAACTGTGGGCAACTTTTAACCTAAAAAGAATTAAAAAATTTGGGGACTTAACATTATTAGCTCTTATATAATCAGGGGAGATATAACAGAAGCTTATAAGAACGAACAAAGAGCCGAAGTGAAGTTTAGATGAAATAAGATGCAAAGCATCAATACACGAAACTCAAATAAAAAAATGATTAAAAAAGCCATACCTAATTTAACAATTTTGGATGTTTTTTCCCTCCCAGGCTTTACTATAAATGGATCGGGAAAGTTTACGTTTTCGTGAGGCGATCCAACTGATACAGTGAGATTTCTGATTTTAGTTGTGATCTGAATTGTAATAGCCAGGATGACTCGTACAATCGGATGATGCTACGAGTTGGATAGCGATTTTGACTACCTTGTGCGTGTGTGTGTGCCTGTGTGTGTATTTAGTTGTCAATTTAAAAATAGCGGACTGCTATTGTAGAGGTAGTAGATTTGAACTTTTGGATGTGTACATAGACATGGTTCATTTGTTTGACCAGGAGGGTGACCCCACGCTTACAAGGTTGTAGGGTTAGTCTCTCCTCCCCAGCCCATTGTAATCCTTTGTGTTTTAATACCTTGTACTGACTAACTATAAGGATAGTGGTTAAACTTACATGTGTTAAATGTGTGATTTTATGTTTTTTTTGCAATCTCCTAATGTTGGAAACAAGCAGCAAACAGTTTTGAATACTTGTGCCGCACTAGAGCAGGCTTTTCCTTCAACTACAGCATCTGCTAACAAGTCGCCTTCAGATGCTGATTGTGAGTGGAGCGAACACATATGTCCTGATGGGTATCCTTATTACTACAACTGTGTGACTTGTGAGAGCCGGGTAAGAAAGTAAATTACCAAATTTTTCAAAAAGGGCATTGTTACTAGTCTTTACCTATAACGTGACAAATAATATTGCAAACATGTGGCACGTAGTGGGAGAGACCAGAGGAGTATGCACACTATGAAAAACTTGAGATGTTTGAGGAGCAACAAAATGAACAGTTTGCCACCCAAGCTGTGTCACAAGGGCTTGAGATGGATGTTCAAAGGCAGCTATCTACCAATGAATCCTGGAAACTTTCTTCTTCGACAAGAGTTGGTGCTCATGTAAGTAACATGAGGTTTGCTTTTATCAAGTATCACTTTCTGAACATCACAAATTTCAGTGTCATAAGAAATCTTCAAGAGTTGAAAATTGAGTCACGCTATTGCATTAGATTTACATTATTCACGCCTTTTAGTTCAAAATTTTGTGTTCGCATACTATGTATTTTCAGAAACCTAATTATGAGAACGCATACAGATGAATGCAAGCCCAAGAGTTCCTCCAGCTTGCGTCTGAATCTCATTTTGTTTTATCGGTCAACATCATCAAAAGGGATTCGACCACTGATTCTCTCTGCAGGATAGGACCAACACCAAGTGCTAGAAATTCATTTCCCCAAATTTTCAACGGAGTACCATGTTAAGCAACAATGGACATCATTCTTACTACTATCCCGGTACCCCTTAGGGCTTTCTTTATATTGTGTAATTCGGATAACTTTTTAACAGCATCATTCGACGATGTGTGGGTCCCTCCACATGCCTTCCTCAAAATTGCCACTTGCCCGATCTATAGACAGATGACCTAACACCAAAGCCATAAGTTTAAGATCGGGCTATATATTGGAAGACTCTTTCGAGGAGCATTGTTTATGGGGGCTAATGTCCTTTAGCCTGAATGTCAAAGCATGACTCAAGCCTCTTACAGGGTACCATTTGTAAAATTAATGGCTCCTATCTTCCCTAAATTCCCATAGCCCCTCCCTGGCCCCACTACTACAAAAAGACTTTCTGAAGAGTATTTTTTGTGAGTTTTTGCATTGGTTTTTTGCCGATGCAAATGTTTGCGATGCAATTGATGAAAAACGTTTTGCATTAGTTGTTTAACGGTTCAAAAGACCCCTTTGAGAGGCCAATTTTTGTGCTCTGGTTAGACCTTTTCCATCGGTTCTTACTAAGCAATCAATGCAAAAGGTGTTTCCATGTAATTCGCGCTAAATTTGGAAGGCCTTTTTAATCGGTTATTCAGGAATAACCGATGCAATAAGCCTTCCCCATTTTGGCGCCTATTTTTGGGAAGCATTTTTTGCATCACTTATTCTTGAATAGAAGATTCAAAAGGCCTTTCCATTTTGGTGCTAATTATTGAGAAGCACCTTTTGTAGCGGTTATTTAAAAATAACCGATGCAAATGCCTATTTCTTTCAACCGAAATTTTTATAGCCTCATTGTGCAGATACATTTCTTTAACTGCCAGAGCAAGAATTAGTTTGTAAGAGCAAAGTGCTCAAATTTTTTCACAACATAATAACGAAACAATATATTCGCTTGAACTAAATAAAAATCACAGAATTCAATACATAAACTTTAACTAAATATAGTACTCCCTCTGTTCCGTTTTAAATCGTCTGTTTTGACTTTTGGACATATTTAAGGAAAAGAAAAAATAGAATTGATTTGTCGAAATTGGCATTACTTTTTAGATGGGGTGACTATTAATTAGAAGATAAGGTGAAAAAGGGCAAAAAATTGCTGCTGGGTACCCCTAATTTTGGGATAAAGACTAGAAGGTCCCATTGTTTTTCAAAATATACTCCGAAGTACCTTAAGATATTCGAAAACTGACTCTGGGGTGACAATCCGTCATTCTCTCCGTTAACATTTCTTCTCCGTTATCCTCCTCCTCCTCTTCTCAAAAAATTGCTGCCAGGTACCCTTATTTTCGGATAAAGACTGGCAGGTCCTATTTTATAAAAAAATTTACTCATGGGAATTTAAAATATGATGTTTGTGACTGAAGGGGGAACTTACGTATCATTTATAAAATTAAAATTATTTGATCACTTGGTTATAAATTATACGCCGTAATTTATAATAATATTAAATTTAACACTATTTTTATTGTTTCATATTATCTTCACAAGACATATTAAATTTAACACTATTTTTATTGTTTCATCTTATTCTTTTCTCAAGTCCTCTTGTTTTCTCGATATACCATGACACCATTACCAATGACGACTATCAATGACTAATGCGGAGTACTATTTTTCTCGATATACCATGACACCATTACTCCGTATTTCTTAAAAATAGAGTAATAAAATTACTACTCTGCAATTAACTTTTAATAATAATTAATGAAATAATAGGAAATACATAATATTATCAATTTTGACCAAAAAAACAAAAGTAGACAAATACTCTAGAACGGAGGAGTAATTAATATGAAGTAATAATAATAACTAGTGGTATTTTTTAAAAAAGTATAGAAGTAAAATTACTAATAAATTGCTTAAAATAAATAATAGTATTAATAATAAGTGTTATTTTATAATAAGTGCTATTTTCCTAAATAACAATTAGTGTTTTTATAGAAAAGAGTGGTAAAACTAACAATTAATTTTTAATAATAATAGTAATAATAATAAATCAAAAAATTAATAATAATAATAGAATACGAAAATAATAATTATGAAGTAATTAATTATAATAATTATTAACAAATAATAATAATTATAATAGAAGAAGAAAAAAACAAAAGAAAAGGTAAAAGAAGAAAAAAACATGGGTGGGAGGGTCACTGGAACTCTGGAAGGCAGGAGAAAGAAGAAGAAAAGAAGAAAAGAGGAAGAAGAAGAAAAGAATGGGACCTGCCAGTCTTTATCCGAAAATAAGGGGTACCTGGAAGCAATTTTTTGAGAAGAGGAGGAGGAGGATAACGGAGAAGAAATGTTAACGAAGAGAATGACGGATTGTCACCCCGGAGTCAGTTTTCGAATATCTTAAGGTACCTCGGAGTATATTTTGAAAAACAATGGGACCTGCTAGTCTTTATCCCAATTTATGTATTTTATTTTTAAAAGTTTACGATAACAACTAACAGGCAACTTATTTTGGGATGGAGAAAAAAAAGGTAAACAGGCAATTTAAATTGGGACAAAGGAAGTACTCCCTCCGTCCACAAATAAACTTTACGTTCAGTATTTACAGGGTCAAACTCTATTCACTTTGTAGGCCTATTTTCGTCACTTATTTGATAAAATAATAGTCATATCACCTCTAGTTTTGTAGATATTTTGATATAATTTTTTAATATGTAATTTTTATTTTTGAATTCTACACCATTTTTCATATAAAATGATTTGAAAATAACTTCAGTCAAACATCGTAACGTGCAACGTAAAGTTTATTTGTGGACGTAGGGAGTATGGTTTTAAATATTAGATCGCTCCACCAATAAAATTACTAACAATAAGTTCAAACTGTTGTAAAATGAGAAAAATTATTCAGAGATTATGAAAATAAATATGATATATTTCTAATTTCTTCTCTTTATTAATTCTTCACCCTTCTTCTTGTTCTTAAATGGTGATTTGCGGGGATCTTAAGCCTCGTATTTATAGTAGAGAGTCTTAGTGGTAATACTATTATAAATACTATACATACTATACAAATGACAATTTGATGGTGATGATAGACAATTTGTTCCTGTAACTATCATGGAGCATGACCTAATTAAAAACCTTGTCAGGAAAAAACCCAATGGGATAAAAACCTGATCAAGGGAAAAAGAGTACAGTTCATAAAATTCTTCCTCTTAGCTTAGCATAATTGACGGAGACAACGCATGCCAATCTTGTGTACGAGTTCTTTAAATTTCTTCGGAGGCAATGCTTTTGTAAATAAATGAGTGGGGTTGAGAAGAACTTTCGTGATATATGCTTTGTTCAATCTCCTTTGATGTAACCTCCTTTCACTTGAGCAATGCATGCAGTGTTGTCTTCATTTATAGGAGTTGGATGACTAGTAATTGTTTCTATACCGCACTCGCTCTGGATATGTTGATCATTGATCGCAACCATACACATTTTCTACCTTTTCGTAGAGAGCTATTAACCCCGCGTGATTTGATGATGTGACAGTCAAAGTTTGTTTCATCGATCTCCATGATATTGCAGTATCCCCATAAGTAAACACAAATCCTATTTGAGATTTTGCCTTTTGTGATCAGACAAATATCCTGCATCAGCGTATCCAACAAGAGTGGCCTTGGCACCTTTGCGGTAGAATAAACCAAAGTCGATGGTACCATTGAGATATCGCAAAATATGTTTAATGCCATTCCAATGCCTCCTAGTCAGGGTCGAGCTGTGTTTGGCTAACAAGTTCACTGAGAATGCAATATCTGGTCGAGTGTTGTTTGCTAGATACATCAAAGCTCCAATCGCACTCAGGTATGGTATTTCTGGACCGAGTATTTATTCATCATCTTCACGAGGTCGGAACGGATCATCATGTACATTGAGAGAGCGGACAACCATCGGGGATGTGAGAGGATGTGCTTTATCCATATAAAACCGCTTCAGAACCTTCTTCGTGTAATTTGACTGGTGGATGAATATTCTATCTTTCAAATGGTCAATTTGAAGACCAAGACAGAATTTTGTTCTCCCAAGATCTTTCATCTCAAATTCTTTAATGAGATATTTTGCAGTATTTTCTATTTCATTAGAAGTTCCAATGATGTTTAAATCATCAACATATACTGTAATTATGGCAAAGCCTGATTTAGATCTACGGATGAAAACACATGGACTAATTGGATCATTTTTGTATCCTTCTCTAATCAGATATTCACTGAGACGATTATACCACATTCTGCCAGATTGTTTTAGTCCATATAATGACTTTTCCAATTTTATGGAAAACATCTCTCGAGGTTTTGAACTATAAACCTCCGGCAATTTAGCCATCCAGGAACTTTCATATTTATGTCAGTATTGAGAGATCCATACAAACATGTTGTCACTACATCCATTAAGCGCATTTGAAGTTTTTCGAAGATAGACATGGTTATCTAAAATCTCAACGTAGTTGCATCAACTATTGGGGAATAAGTTTTTTCATAATCTATCCCCGGGATTTGAGAAAAACCTTGGGCAACGAGTCAGGCTTTATATCTCACAATTCCATTTTTCTCATTGCGTTTACGCACAAAAACCCATTTGAAACCAACTGCTTTCACGCCTTTTGGCGTAGGAACTATAGGCCCAAAAACACTTTATTTTTCAAGTGATTTCAATTTTTCCTGAATTGCTTCGTTCCATTTTGGCCAATCATGTCTACGTCGACATTCATCAATTGAAGTTGGTTCAATGTCATCATTTTCATCGATGATGTTTGTGGCAATGGAATATGCGAATATATCATCTACATGAACATCTTTTCTGTTCCATTGCAATCCCGTAGAAATGTAATTTATTGAAATCTCATTCTCAATGTTTCCATCTTGATCTGAATTATTCGCATCTTCAGAGATTGTTAAATCCTCATTTGAAACAAATTGTTCGTTGATATTATTTTTTATATCACCATGCTCGGTTTGTTCATTTTCTTTCCTTGAAGAATGCACATCTTTTGTTTCAAACATCGTCTCTTGCCTGTTAAGTTTTCTTGGTTTTACATCTTTTGAACCAAATGGCCTGCCACGTTTTTTGCGTATTGAAGACTCATTTGCAAGAGTTTTTTCATTTTTCTCTGAAGGAATTTCAATTCTGGAAAGAGCATTCATAGCAGGAATATGTGACTTTGTCACTTTCTTTGAATCCGTGAATGCGTCAGGTAATTGATTTGCAACATTTTGTAAATAAATTATCTTTTGCACTTCTTGTTCGCATGCATTTGTTTTTGAATCAAGAAAAGATAATCACGTTGCATTCAATGTAATATTTTTCGTACA